CTCATGACTATATTTTTTGGGCAGGGACATCACCGCAATGTTTATGTGGTACAATGGTAACCTATCTTGCCGAAGCCTTCCAATCATATCTTTACGCCACGACGACGCCAACTATCCACCTTTCATCTCGTTTCCGAATTCTTGAAAGGCTCCTGGCTTTGCAGCATCTGCTGCCGCCTCCATTCGTTCGATGGTTGAGCTGTGGCAGTATCAGTTTGTGGCATTAGTCACTGTTGACGAGCTCTCATTGTCCTGTTCCGAGCTGTTTTTTTGCCCTTTGAGACCATGCGATTACAATTGGCCTCTGTTTGTTTTTGGTCTTCAACGAATCCCGGTCGTCTGGATTACCTACGTAACGCTGTAAACACGGCATATGCGCAAGAACTTTACCGAAATTCGGTCAATTTAAGAACAAGGCTACTTCTTCTCTTATGAGCTATAACGAGACATGGAGTGGGAGGCGAGGGGAACCGTGAGTAGGCGACAACCATTGGATTGACTCTGTACGATCAAACCCAGCTTCACCCAAAGCTTATTGGTGATAAAGCCAAAAATTCAATCTGATTATCTGTTCATCACTTAGGTTCGACTATCACATTTCCAACTATACAACTCTAGGTGGAAATCATAGGCACAGATCATTGGGCTTTATGAGGTATATTATAATTTGAGCTGTATCCTTATTTCTTGTCTTTTCAAGCATTCTTGACTCAGCCTTCTTCTATCTTTCCTGGTAGTTCCCTTTTTCCTTCTCGTCTACTGCGAAATGCTTTGAAGATGATTTTTTCCAAAAAAAGGCTTGTTCAGAGACAATGGCGCGAGTGACGCGTCGAGTACTACAGATGAGCGACCGCGAGCTAGAGGCAGTCATAGCCGTCGCCATGCCCGGACGGCGGGTAGAAGGTATGCGTCGCGATGAGCTGCAGGAGATTTGCATGAAGTGGTCAGTCTGATGTCAAATACTCATTTTCCGGCTATTCCACTACCGAGTATTCAGAACTCTGTTCTTAACCCATCAATAAAGTGAGAAGACGGTTAACCGAAGCCACCTCATTGAAAGCCCTCACTCGGAAGGGCAGAATACATAATTAGGTGAAGACGTGCAACCGCATACAAAAAAAGGACCTGGTGTGTGAGTAACGTGGAAAATTTTACTCAGCGGGGGCGGGACATACCCAAAGTGGGAAATGCTGTCTACAAGAACCTATAACCCGACTTTAAACTGACCAGGCAGTATGGACATTACCCAGAGACGGAAGTGTCAATAAACTGTCTGACGGTAACGTTAGCATACACAGTCCCAGAAATTAAATGCTAGTTAAGAGGTCAGGCCAACCAAGACAATCATTCCTTAGTAAATTGATTTGTTCCATTTGGGAAGGTGAAACGATGATTTGGGCGAGCCTGCCCTGGAGGTTACTGTGTGGGTCAAATAGGCAAAAGCGGTGCTAGAAGAAGCCGAAATTGTGTGGGCATATTCAAGAATGAACAAAAGGACTATTTAAATCAAAGGCAAAAATCTATTCCTTGGTGCCAAACGTTCGACTTCAGGCTATTCGCCAATGGACTTTCTATAAATCATCAATTTACGATTGATCATGAAGGCGACGAAATCTATGTGTTGATGAGCAACAAATCCTCGTGTACCTGCTGTCAAAAAGGTGAAGTCGCATAATTTAAGTGTTGAAAGATAGTTGGTCGTTGTTTTTTTTTCAAAATAACTTCTTTATTTTCCTGAAACTCCCATTAACATACCCGAGATATTGAAGGAACGAAACC